GTCCTGGACCTCACAACGCTCGACCTAGACACCGCATTATTAAATAATCGATTCTCTAGTTCGTCCCAAGAACGACTGTCATCCCAACGCCTAGAGACAGTCTGGGCATCCAATTTATGATCAAGCAGTCAGGGACTCGACAACATATATTACCATCACAGTCGGTTTAAATCTTCTCCGCGTATCAAAAGCACACATCTCAAAGAAGGAAGGCAATTTAAAGCAAGATTATGAACTATTCATCTAAACCACAATTAATATCACCAAAGCGCATTATTTATTCACGAGGTTAAAAACAGAACACGAAACAGCAAATCGCCTACCCAAATACCTTTTCAAAATATAGATCAAAGGTATTCGAAACGATAACCGCAGAGTTATGTTATATCAGTTACTAGGAAAATATTGAACTTTTTTGAATTATGAAGCCCCCCCCCCCACCCCCCCCCCCCCCCCCCCCCCCCCCCCCCCCCAAAAAAAAATGTCAACTATGCTTCTTCATCATCGTCTTCTTTTTTAGTTATGTAAGGTCAGGTTGTATAGACGCATCGGGTTTAAGCCTTGCGATGTCCTACGTAACAAGTAAAAGAAACGGTCCCTTTTCCACGCCTTTAGGCTTATTGGGAATATAGGGCTAGACCAAGATTTTTGTTTGTTTGACCAATCAGCACTTGGTTGGTGATGTGGTCAACATCACGCCGGCCGCCTTTACTTCCCAGGACTGCATCTGGTACCCATTCAAGGCTGGGTCGAATGTGAGTCAAGGTCACTTTTGAAAAAAAAAAAAACAGTCCGTTTCCGTCAGGATGCGAACCCATGACCTTCCGCTCTGCAGGCGGGCATCTAGCCGCTAATGCCACAGCGACTCCCATGTACTATGTAGATACTGGTATTTACGACCAGTTATATTGCCCCTGTTAGTCGGCTAGCCCGGCGGTTTCCAGCTTGTCAGTCATTGCATCCATATAAGTAGGTATATATATAAAACCCAACGAAAAGTAGATAACGAGCACCACAATATAACAAACAAAAACAAAAGGTGAACGTTACGGCAATATAGCCTTCATCAGCATATACATTAATCAAATAAAGCCACATGAATACACAAAAACACTTAACTGTGTATCCAGAGGCAGACTCGTTCATATCTTGCCAGTGGAAAGAGGAGACACGTAGGCTCGCAAATATAAACAGCCGTGGAAGCTGTGAGAAAAGAATGGGGTCTTTCCAGGAAGAGGGAGGAAAGGACGTCTAGATTTTTTTTTTTAAAGCATGGGAATCAGTAGGCTTAAAGTACACAGAGGTGCAGAGGCCTTTGGAATCCAGGGTGACAGTGAGATCCAGAAAATGCACCGACGATGGTGATATCCTGGAAGTTCATCTGATGCTGGGATAGAAGTTAGAGAACATGTGAATGAAGTCCTGCAGTTCAGGTAGAGGCATATCGGTAACACCAGTGCAATCATCGATACACCTCTTGTAGAGTTATGCAGTGGGCACATGTGTTTTGGTTCTCTTATGTCGATAGCTGTAATCATATTGCAACCTGAGCCTGCGAAAAACGTTGTGAGCGTCCTAAAGGAGAGAGTATCGGTCGCTGGAAGGAATAAGAGTCCGAACCGGAAGCCCTTACTAAGGACCTCTCGGATGTGGAGAAAGGGAGGTCAGTAGGTATACAGACCACCCGGTTGTCAGCGCTTGCAAAATTGCGGAGGAGAGAGAGTGGGGTGGGTGGGGGTGGAGGGGGTTGGACTGATTGTGTTTGGCTGTGGACATACATCGATGTAAATGGTGGTTGGTGCTGTTAATAATACACCGTGTAACACAATAAAGGAAATAATTATTAGAAGTTAACTGGAATAAACGTCTATCTAGGTAGGAGATGTACGATCTGAGCTCGGACAACTGGTGCACATGATTATCATCAATACAGCGCACGCGCAGAGTGGTACATCGCACATCATTCTGGGATAGCCGTTTACTGCAGCCAGCTTGGTTGGCTCCGGCTGAGGATTGAAAATTGAAAGTGAAACCACGTAAAACAACTTTGAACTTAAAACAGTTTCTAAGACCCCCGTGTGGGTTCCGGGGCCACATTGTGTGGAAAACAAGAATAGACCCACTGCCTCCTCAAAAGCATGTCGTAGGAGTCGACTAATTTGGGAGTTTCCTTTAAAGTCGGAGTCTATCTGCTTCTTCTTCTTGTTCTTCTTTCGTTCGCCTGAAATAAGTTGTCTATATCAGCAGTTTTGTCTCTTGTATAAATTTCACTGTCATTGTTAGTTCATTCAGTGGTCCAAAGAGTTTACGTTCCACTGTTGTTCTTTCTGGCCAGAAGGTTTGACTTAATGTGTCAAATTCGGTGCGATCCTGGAGTACATGCTCTGCTGTCTGGGGCACATTTCCACAGGTGCACATGGCTGATATCCCTATCTTGAATTTTGTGTGCATGTGGTTATGTAATCGGTTGTGCCCTGTTCTGAGGCGGGGGATAATGACTTGTTCTGGTCTGTCCATAATAAAATAGTCGTCTTGTGCTGGGACTGGTGGTTTCCTGATCGATTTAATGATTCTTTTCTTTTGGTGGTATGTGACTAGTACATCCGGCTGCTCTTTTGTCGCACCTTCCCCTGCCAGTTGATCAGCTTTCTCATTTCCAGGCACTCCACAATGAGACGGTATACACTGCATTGCGACTCTTCGCTGAAGGCTGAGTTGTGTCAGCAGTGTTTGCAATTCTAGTAGTTTCCTAGACTGGAGTGCTTTAAGTACTGATTTAGCATCTGTAGAGCATTACCACATACTGTTAGCCAAGATTGGTATTTAGCAGTTTCTCTGTTGCTATCTTGATAGTTTGAGTTTCTGCTTCATAGTTATGGCAGTACTTCCCGGTTGGTACGCTGGACTTATCCCTAGTACCATCTGGGAATTCGATGTACACTCCAGCACCACCATTTCTAACTGCACCTTCTGCGGACCCATCTGTATAGACTCTGACCCATTGTTTTTGTGGGTATTCTTCATCAATATAACTGAGGGTGGCCATTCTGCGTTGTACACTATCTTGCTCTTTCTTGTCAAATATCACTTACATCTGCTAAAGAGGCAAGAAGCCAACAGTCTGCATTCAAGTTAATCAGATCTGTAAAACTGATGCACACGCAACACTCAGGTTCTGGAGCAGGACTGCAGTTCAGAAGTGGACGAAAAGCCAAAACTTTCCGTCAGAGTGTACAGCTGAAGAACGCAAAGAAGAAGAAAAAGAAGTTTCTAAGAAAATTGAGATGGCATGCAGTTTTTGTGGTGTGGTACATGTGGGTGGCGACATATAAATGGGTAATCTCAGTTATGTGCGTCAGGACATAAATGGGGATCCAAACATAAATGTGGGTGATCAGTCATGTGGGTCGCGATATAAATGTGGCTGATGACACCCGTGTGGATGAGACCATGCCCGCCAAAACATATGCGATCGTGCACCTTGAGCCCACTTGTATGCTTCCCCTTGTGGGTTTCCAGATCCCTTTCGGAAGGAGAAAAAAAGTAACCCACTTCCACTTAAGCATGTCGTAAAAGACCACTAATTACGTTTGCGCTGAAATAGGACTGAAAAGAACAGATATGACAGTCTAGCTCTTGAACACAGCACAACGTGACAACCGCTCTTTTAAAGGAAAGGGCAGAAGATGACGAAGCGGATTAGCTTTGTGATTATAAATATTGAAAAATTCAAATGCAGTAAAAACAGCATAAAGCAAAAACTATATAAACAGGTAATTTGAGTCAAACTGCAAGCTTTCTAAAGTAGCCTACAACATATTTAACTTAATCGTGCACATTTTATTACAGTTTAACTACAAGAACCTGATATACAGAAATTTCTGCTGAAATATTTTATTTATCGTATTTCATTTGACGTAATTGGTTGTGATATTTTCTTTACCGCAGTACAGTCTGCCGTGATGTTTTCTTTGCCGCAGTACAGTCTGCCGTGATGTTTTTTTTGCGGCAGTACAGTCTGCCGTGATATTTTCTTTGACACTATAGCCCTGCTGTTTACTGCAGGCATAAATTTCCAACATCTTTGCTTCTGCAGCGCGGTGTTTTATTGCTGTGGTGTAGAATGACTTGAAAGCAAATTACAAGGCAACCTCCACTGCATTTTATGGAAATGTTTATGACATTGCGGAAAATTACGCCAGGTAATCTTCTGAGGTTTATACGACGAATCAACATCATGGCACAAGGGTAGTAACATATGAGTGCTTCGTTATACTTCTGAGTCAAGGCTGAGTCTGAAGAATCTCAGCGCAGTGCACAAACTCCGTAGCACCGGCAAGGATCCTGAAATACTCTGGGTATATTTTTAGCTCCAAATTTTGCCCGGGCTGCGCCGTTAGGCTACTCTTTTCGGTTTCCAACTGCCAGGGGATTTTTTACGTGAGCAACAATACACACGGGTGTCCAATCTTACTAGCCAGAGACCAAGAGAAATTACTAGAAGTCGACGTGCAAAAAAGTCTAGCCTTCACCGAAGCTTGAACCTGGGACCTCCAGCACCCGAGGTGGACGCCAAGCCTCGAGGCTACTCAGCCCACCTCCAGCTACTATGTCTAAGCTTGGTCGGTGTTTTCTGGATTCTTGAGACCTAAACATTGTGTAAGGGTCTTCTTCTTCTTCCGCTTCTTTGTTTTACTCTCCTCTCATTTGCCTTCATTCCTTTCATCCAGTCATCTTAGCCAAATAATGGTAGAGATGTTATGATCATCTGTGTCTTCTTCTTCTTCTCCTCCTCCTCCTGCTCCTGTTTCTGCTCCTCCTGCTCCTGCTCCTCCTCCTACTGCTGCTTCAGATACCACCCACTATCATTTATCTATCAGACTGGCCTTCTCTTTCCAGTTGGTAACTCCAACTGTTTGTAGGTCTGTATCTATATTACTTCTCAACTGTCTGAGGGAAATCTATAAAGTGGACCCGCCATAGATAAACCTTTAGAAGTCTTATGCCGGGAACAACATTGCTTGAAGAACTGTCTTTGGACCTTCTGGCATGTCAGCCTGAACTGTGTTATAGCATTTATATGCCAGGTTTCGCAGCATTTTGTGCTTGCTAATAAGGAGTTCCCCATAGAGGTACACACCCAGAGCCTGTTGAATAAACAGAGACAGAACAGTTTACAACAGAGCAGCGTTGTGAAAACATAGAGGGCGATAAAACGTTTCATTATTACATTCCTTCCCTTTGAGTAAGAAGTTCTAAAAGATGTTCAACACTGAGGGGGAAATATAGGTGGACTTTTAATCAAGTCACAGATGGTTGTGGTTGTCGTTTGTCCATCATGAGTGATGGAGACCACTTTTTATCCAAACTAGTAATGATCAATAATTATGATTATGGGTTGCAGCTGATACTATTAGCATTACGGCTCTTCGTTGGCTGCTGAAGAAAGGGATGGCGCACATGCGGGAATTTCCTGAGTGCAGTCATTCATTCATTCATTGTCATGTTCCTGACATTTGGCTGAGGAATTCTCGTCCCCCTCTAGTCGATGGTGCTTTCTGTTTGGATCACGTGTGATGATATATGTATCCATCAAAGTAACACAGACCACCACGTACCGTCTCTCTCGATCTGCGACTTCTTCGTCCAGTGCTGACCTTTGATGTTATTCAGCGCCTCGCCTTTCAACACTTGGTGAAACAGGACAATATTTTTTCGTAGTAATGAATATACATATACAAAACATGAATATATGTAGCAGTATTCTGTAGTTGTGGGTTCAAGCTGTTTGAAATGAAAGTCATCGTTAGTAAAGATTACCCCCCCCCCCCCTCACCCACCCCATTTTTTAAAGGGTTGGCAGCAGAACGTCTTGCGTTGGGTTTGACAGTAGTACCGAGAGCTGACCGTTTAGAGGAAAATGGGAAACTACTAAACTTAAAATTTGCTAAAAAAAACCACAACAGATCCCCCCCCCCCCCCCCAAATGCTGGGGTTGGTTCTGCAACGTCCTGTAAAGGATACGCAACTAACTGCAGGGGGTGCTGTCGTTATTTGGAGGTGACAGATTCTATTCTCGGCAGTAACTATGTCAGGAATTGTTATCCTGTCTAGTGTCCTATCTTTCTACTAGTGTCCATAAATACATGTCTGTTCCTTTATTATGTATACTGTCTTTTTCGTATACAGTGCAGACCGCTTAAGGGTGATCTCGGATATATCGAATTTATATTGTAAAGAAGAATTTGTTTTATCCCCGACAATTTTTCTTGCTTGAACTCTTATCTGGATAAGGTGATTTTCTTATAAGAAGAGCTATTTCTTAGTCCCCTGATGAGGTCTCCTAATCAGGTCTGCACCGTAAAAGAGTTTAATTTTCTACTATCAATCCCTTTATTCGAGACAATCGTCGTTGTTTACAATGATTGTCATCCTCCCTCTACTTCACTTTTCTTCTTTGATGTTCATCGACTGAAAACTTCAGTGCAAAGTCCTGGATGTTCGTCCCTGTCTTGTTTCAGGACTTGATTGTTACGTGCACATCCTGTTACAAATATGGCTTACTGTACACAGACCACTGATTTCCCCCGTACGACCTCAAAGAAAATGTGGATCCTGCCTACGTTGGCCAGGAGTCTGGTACTGAACCTGCTTCTAGCACAGTGACTCTCAACTTTCCTAAAGCCGCAGCCCTTTAATACAGTTCTTCGTCACGACTACCCCCAACCATACAATTATTTTCGTTGCTTCTTCATACCTTCAATAAATATGTGTTCTGCCGTTGTCTTTGGCGACCCCTGTGAAAGTATCCTTTGACCCAAAAAGTGGTCGCAACCCACAGGTTGAGAACCGCTGTTCTAGGATGAGTGCGGAAAGGTGAAGAAAGGTCATGACCAGTTTGAACCCTAGTTACAGGCGCCGGAACCAAGAGGCGTAGATGTCTTGATGCCCCCACCCAATCCCACCCCCCACCCCTTTAAAAAAAAAACCTTGTTGCAAGGGTACTGCGAGACCCATGTTATCATGCATAGATATTTTCTTTTAAATATGTGTTTATTCATTTCATATTATTTCAAGTAAATTATTAAATATGTTTGGCATTCAGCACAAAAATAACAATAATTATAAAGTGTTGAATGGCAAAAAAATATAACACTATATTTGAAATTATATAATTTCTTGACATGGTTTTATGACGTCTCAAAGCCTCTTTGTGGAATTGTTGTGGAAAGGTCTAGATAGGTCAAAACGTGTTTGAACCCTAGTTACAGGCGTCGGAATCTAGGGGCACCGATGTCTTGACACAAAAGCCCCTTTACGGAAAGGGGAATGAGGGCTCCCGCCTTCCCCTCCCCCAATTGTGTGTGTATAGGGACACTTAAGGATTAGTAATCGCTCCTATACAAATAATCTCAAGCCACAGATAAAACGGTCTACCATACGTGCATCTGTGGCCGTACATACAATTCCATGCTATGGATAAACCGGTGTCCCATACATGTAAGGGTACACTGCCCATATAACAACGTTATAAAACGTCAAAATGGCCAAACTTTACAGGAGTCCGTAACCCAATACGTTCTTTGGCTTGATAGTTTTAAAAGACTCTATCAGAGATCAGCCAAGCATTCAAACTGAATACAAGCAATGATGATCTTATTTTGTAACTCATTTCGCAAGAAAATATTCTAAAACTTTAGACTGTCAATATATAACATTAAAAAAATTAAACAGTCGAGGTAAACATAAAATAACATGAATGGGAATTCAGGGATTTGGTTTAGTTGGATTCTTACACAAGAGATGTCAATCCTACAGACTGCCGTAACCGGGAAAAAAATGGCGTGGAGGGGGGTCGGATATTCTTTCCTTCTCTTTTTTTTTTCCCACAAAAGAAAAATTGTCTTCCGAAAAATCAACCGATGAGGGGTATATAGGAAAGAATCATCATTTTCTTCTCCTTCTTCTTTGCGTTCATCAGCTTTAAACTCCAGCAGAAAATTATGGTTGTTCATCCACATTTGGACTTTGGTCTTGTTCCAGAACTTGAGTATTGAATGCACACCAGTTTTACACATGTGGCTTATTTGTGTGCAGACTGTTGGGTAGATGCACTCCGACTTCCAGGAAAACACCCCTAATTAGTCGCCTTTTATAATGTACTTGTCGTGGGTGGTAGTGGATCTATCCTTTCCACCCAAACCCCAATCGGGGCCTCTGAAAACATATGGGAAATTAGCAAAGATAAACACTACAGCACAGTCTACTTGCTACAGTGCTGATTAGGCAGTTACCTGATGATGCAACAGAAAGTTCTCCACATCGGCTATCCATTGGGTAGCTTTCCTGTGAATGACAAAGTCACACCAGCTGTGTTTTACCTGAAATAAATCAGTCAGCACCTGTCACTATCCTCAAATATTAATCCCTGACCCGGCACGGCTCTGCAGGTTACGCCAAGGCGGGCGCAGCTGTTACGGGTTTCCCCCCAATTATAACTTTGTTGGACGGGTTGGTTGAAGGGGATAACTGCGATATGTCCTGTTGGCTTGCCATACGGATTGAGATCTTGTAATCTCGGACCAGTTCGGAAGGGACAAAATGGAAGTAAGCATAGCAGAAAAGTTTGGTTGTGTGTTCTTTGCAGAAACAAAGGCATCATTTGGGGGGGGGGGGGGGGGGGGGGGGGGGGGGGGATTTTACTAGGCGGACTAAACGGTGGGCAAATGAAAAGGTGCATGATGCTGATGATGATGATGATGACGTTATTGTTGTGATGATAATGATGATGTGATAACGATCAATAATTGTGATGTTATGGTGATGCTGATCATAATGGTGATGAGATAACAATGGTGGTAATGATGTAATACTTATGAAGATGATTTAACGCTGATGTTCATAATAATGGTGAGGATGATGAGATGACGTGATGGTGATGATGATACTGATGATAATGATGATAATGATGTAATGATGATGCAATGGTGATAATAATGATGAAAACATGTAAAGGATCAACACTTCCCACCCCAACAACAGTAACACGCATGAAGCTATAGGAAATACAAATAGTGAATGCAGAACTTACCTCAGCATTGGACTCGCCGATGTTGTGTGTCTCTCTCATCATCTTAAGCTGGCCTGCACTGACTACCACAGCCTCCTCTACCAGCGTCTCCAGCAGCAGAATCAGCTGCTCCGGGAGAAGCTGGTGACACATAAGGATCCAAGAGGCTTGGTATCTACAACTTAGACTTAAGTTTCAAGTTTACAAACTAATTGCTGCTGCTGCTGTTTCTTCTTTCTCCTCATTTTCTTCTGCATTCGCTTTTAAAACAGGTTTTTGCAAGTTATGCTGTAGTTTACAGCTTGACTGCGATATGTGCGCCTCTTGTACTACACCACTGTCCGATTTCACAAAAACCCTCATTAGTCGCCTTTTACTAGTTATCTGTAGTTATAATCCCCCCCCCCTCCCCAAATGGAACCAAAGGACCTATACGCGAATGGGAAGGAATGAATCTACTAGAAACAAAAAGACGATCTGACAGATGCACAGTGTTAAGGATTTAGAAGAAAGGAAGTTTTGTGAAAAGGGAAAAGAACAAAGAGAACTGCACTGTTTTATGCGTTTAGAAGAAATATAATCTTGTCGAAATACAAGACTATAAACAGAGTATTCTATTACGTTAAGGGCTAGAAGAGAAAGGACTCTTGTGGCAAAAAAATGGCATTGAAGTGAATTTTAAAACACAGGGGAAATCCTGGAATAATCGAAGTAATAACATTAAACCTCATAAATAAATTATTTCGTAAACCACACACACAAATAGAGGAAGAGAGAGAGAGAGAGAGAGAGAGAGAGAGAGAGAGAGAGAGAGAAAGAGAGAGAGAGAAAACAAGCATAAGATGGCATTCGTACGTGGTATCTTATATAAAAAATAACGTTAAAATACCGAACATTAAGATGTACACAGAAACCTCCCGGTGAAATCTTAACCAATATCTTCATTCACCCACTCGTGGAGCACACCAGCACCAACAGCAAGTTGTCGGCGCTATGTCACAGTCACCGAGTGTAACTTTGTCGATGATCACGTAGATGTGTTTCCACGGCTGTTTTTCGTCACTGTACAACATGCCAAGGGCAAACAAAACATATGAATTCATGCTCCAAACTGATTTCAAATGAAGTACAGTAGACTTTCCGGTCTAATGTGGCCAAAAGGCAGACTTGAGATCAAATTTATGTTTAACTTAAAAGCACCTTTTCCCAAGCATTTAGGCATATCGGGCACATGGTGCTACAAATATATCTTTAAACAAATCGCAACTCGGTAGGTGATGAGGTCAGGATGACGCGGGCCTCATCTACTTTCCAGGACCTTTGACTGATAGTCCGCCATGGCGCTTGATTTGACCAAAATATTTCAGCTTCTGAGACAAGATGTTATTTATTAGCTAATCTTCCTTAATGTTCTTCCTTAATGCCCTTCCTTAATGTTCTTCCTTAATGTTCTTCCTTAATGTTCTTCCTTAATGTTCTTTCTTAATGCTCTTTTTTAATGCTCTTCCTTAATGCTCAGAACTGTCAGAATGTCAGTATTTATTTTCTTATTTGTCCATGGTATTCTGAAGATCTTTCTATAGTTTTTTTTTCTGCTCAAAATCCCACATTTTCTTCCTTAAGGACTGGGATATCAAACGTAAAGATTTATCCGAAGCTTTCTACAAGAAAGAACATTTTCAGTACTAGTTAATAACGAAAGATCACAAACTTTTGAACAGGTGAATGGAATCCCTCAGGGTGCTGTAATATCCCCTACCCTGTTCAGCATATTAGTAAACGACCTTGATGATGCCATCACGAACAAGGACACGGGACTAACTCAGTTTGCGGACGATTGTGCAATCTACCACAGCCATAATCAGATCCCCTGCGCTAAGAAAAGATTGCAGAAAAGTCTAGACGAAGTTACGCATTGGATGGGAAAATGGGGATTTAAAATCAACGTCGACAAAACAGTAAGCATGATATTCAACTTTAAAAGACAGCTTAATTATGACCCAGAAGAAACGAGACTCCAAATTAATGGCAGAACAGTTCAGCGGACACGTTCGACGAAATTTCTAGGAATGATTCTGGATGAGCAAATGACCTGGGCTAAGCACATCGATGATCTCGTAGTAAAGTGTACAAAGTACAATAATATGCTGAAAATGATTAAAGGAAACGGATGGGGAGCACACCAGGACACCCTAACACAATTTTATAAAGCTTTCGTTAGGGGCAAAATGGAATACGGAAGCATAGTATACGAATCAGCATCAGAGAACAGCAAATGCAAACTTGATAGGATTCAGTGCCAAGCCCTGACTTCCATCATGGGCGCTGGCAAAGGGACATCGAGAGAGGCCATGGAGGTAGCACTAGGCATCACACCGCTTAACCTCAGAAGGAAACAACTAACTTATAGCTATTGGATGAAAGCGGCCAACGATGCCAGACACCCAGCTTCAGACGCTTTTCATCATAACATTACCCACCTAGGTGACAGACCGGTCAGAGACATACAGAGACCAGCAGCCTGGGACGCTGCACTAGAAATTAACGATGATGAGGACTTAGCTAGGACTCTAGAGGCAAGCGTTAGGTTTGTCCCTCAAATCCCTCTATGGAGACTAGAGCTGCCCAGGACAGACATGAGTCTGATTAAAATTATTAATAAGAATACTGAAACATTGGAAGCCAAAGCAATAACAGAAGAATACATAGACCAGATCCGATCAGACAATCTGGTTGCATACACTGACGGATCAAAGAATGAAGCAGGAGAAGTAGGAGCAGGAGTAATAATCCCACAGTGGAACATACAAAGAGAATATAAAATAACAGATCATGTGGCAGTATGCACAGCAGAACTAGTAGGCATTATGAAGGCACTAGAGATGGTAATTAATAAACCTCCAACTAAATTTACCATACTGACAGATTCATTGTCCTCGGTGCAGACGTTAAAAACACATAAAACTAACAGTAGACCAGATATTAAAGAGACAATCCTGAATCTAACAACTCAGCTCAAGAATAAAGGATGCCAAGTCACCATTGCATGGGTACCAGCACACAGAGGTGTAATTGGCAATGAAAAAGCTGACATAGCAGCCAAAAAGGGAGCAAAATGTGATGTTTTAATAGATGTAGGACTTGGAAAAACAGAAAGGACCAGCATAATCAAACGACATATAATTAAAATGTGGAAACTGCAATGGCAAAGGAGCAATAATGGCAGAGATGCCTACAATAACCTTAAAGAGCCCAGCCTTAACACACAGGTACGGGACAAACTGAAAATTCCAGCCAACAAACTTCTATGGAGAGCTAGATTAGGATGGCACCCAGAGAAATTTACATCTCCACTATGTCTGGACTGCTTTCAAGATAATACTCTAGAGCATTATATAATAAACTGCACTAAGTATAAATTGGAAAGGAAACCCATTGAGGAATTTTTTTCAAAACGCAAACAACAAATTACTGTAAACAAATGTTTAAATGTAGAAAGCAATAAAGACATCCAAAAACTGGTTAAACAATACCTTATTAAAACAAATCAAAACTAAAAAGACCAGATTAGGGATTTACTCAGTATAACAGAAGGAACTGATGAGATGGTAACCCCGAACATCCTAGAGTCAGAGAGATAGTGTAAGTATGATGAGTGCATAGATGTGAACATGGACACATACACAAGGATGAGTGCGTGTAGTATGAGTGCATTTGTGTATAGGATGGATACATAAGACACAGTGTATGTAGGTGGATGGTATGGAATCATATGTGGACGGAACAGTGGGAATATAGTTGTGCGAAAGGTACAGATGAATGAGTACATGGATTTAAATGTATTACTGTATGCATGTATATGTGTGTACGAGTGTGCATGTGTGTATATATATGAGAGCGTGTATACTAATATATTTGTGAGTGTATGAATGACAGTGCAATCAAAGAAACCATAAACTGTGTTGCTGTATGTCTGTTCATTAATGAGAACAAATGGAATGAAGGGTGTAAGCAGCAAGAACGTCATCAACGCACACAATCCACCAAAACATGATACGTCAGTACCGGACAGGTCACATACCAGTAACAGGACATAACTTAAAAGTGACACGACCAGACGAAATTACAGACAAAGCGACACAAAACACATAAGACATGGAAGAGTGAATATCACTACGTGTGGATGTACTCGTTTTTTTTTTTTTTTTTTTTTTTTTTTTTTTTTTTTTTTTTTTTAATGAATGTAAGCACAGGCATTGGTAAACGCATATGAAAGAGTTTGCGTGTGTACGTAATGTCAATTAGGTATGCATATACGGATAAGTATGAAAGGACGTACAAATATGTAGTGTTGTCTGCATGTATGAGTACTCGAGTGCATGTACGCATACACCTAGTTGGGTGCGTCCATATACTCCGGGGATTCATAAACAAAACCATCCCACTCCACAACATGCATACAACATGCACATGACCGACAGGACTCGTAACAAAAATATGACTGACAGCAAGTAGGGAATACAAGTGACTCGATAATGACAGGACTAGAACGCATAGCCTCCAATACCACCCCATCACTGGGATGATAGCAAAGGTTGGTAACGTGATACACATGGTCCCGGCAAAAAGCCACGCTAGAATCCAGCAAGACGGCAACGACGAGAATTGACTGAATGGCCTCCCGCTCCCCTTCCCCCCACCTTTCCCTAAATCTTTCGGATGCACTATGAGTTTAACCCCCCAACCCATTCCCACAGAGAGCACTTGAGTTCGTTGCCCATCATGCCACAACAATTCTCATCGCCGATCATTTGGATCTCAAAGCGTGAGCTGGACGGTCCGGTTATATGGTATTTACGTACACCGGAGCTTAGCTATCAACACAACCCGATCACATAATAACAAATGACGACTGGACTCGCTTAAGACTCCACACAAACTCCCACACACATATCCAATACATGACTAACCCGTTCATATTACAGGAAGACAACTATAAGACCACTATGGTCATACGCGGAAAATTTTCACATTTCGGAACTATTCACATTCAAAAACTGTTTTCAGTACTTTTTGGAAAATTAAAATACTCAAAATTTTAAAACAATAAATGGTGGCCGAAAGGTCGTTGTGTTTGGAAGCTCGCTCTCCTTCGAGATACGCCTAGCCAGATCAAAGGGAGACAGAACAAACAGGAAACACCACGAATGAAGAAGGAAGACTTGCACCAGTGACAACAGGACGAGCGGTTTGATACGGAGGGAAGCATTAAGCCAGAAATGGCACAAACACCAGTATTCAGTCACGAAAGTGACGCAAATAACCCAGACCACAAATATAGGCGGAGACTGTTAGCAGCCTAGGCTAGCTAGCAGCAGTCTGAACGTGGTCGAGCTTTTCTTTTTTTTCACCCACCAAGTGCCGACTGGTCTGTGAAAATATAGGTCTAGCCCTATATTCCTAATACGCCTAAAGGCGTGGAAAAGGGACCGTTACTTTTACTTAACTCATCATCATCATCAGGTGCCTTGCCGACTGGCGTGGGCGATCATGCCTCTCCATAATCCGCGATCTCCTGCAGCATGTATCAGTTCGTGTGCCGACACACCTCCATGCCATGCAATAAGACTGTCAAGCATCTTCTCTCTTTGTCTTCCTCTATCCCTCCTTCCACAGATCTTTCCAGTGGTCACAACATGTTCTATTTTCCCTCTTCTCATAACATGGCCGAAAAATGATGACTGTCTCCTTCTGATGTCAGTGATAAGTTGTCTCCGGGCTCCCGCCTCTTTTAAAACATCTTGGTTGCTCTTTTTGGCTGTCCAAGGTATTCTAAGCATTCTTCTGTAAAACCACATCTCTGAGGCCTCCAAAAATTGTTTGACCTGCCTACCGATTGTCCAGGATTCACATCCATATGTTAAAACTGGATGTATGTAGCAAGCAAGAATTCTTTTTCTAACTCTCAATGACAAGGATATATTGCACATGTTCTATTTTCCCTCTTCTCATAACATGGCCGAAAAATGATGACTGTCTCCTTCTGATGTCAGTGATAAGTTGTCTCCGGGCTCCCGCCTCTTTTAAAACATCTTGGTTGCTCTTTTTGGCTGTCCAAGGTATTCTAAGCATTCTTCTGTAAAACCACATCTCTGAGGCCTCCAAAAATCGTTTGGCCTGCCTACCGATTGTCCAGGATTCACATCCATATGTTAAAACTGGATGTATGTAGCAAGCAAGAATTCTTTTTCTAACTCTCAATGACAAGGATATATTGCACAAGATGTTTTTCATTTTATAAAATGCAGTTTTTGCCTGTCCAATTCTGTTTCTTATTTCAGTTATGCATCTTCCATCTGATGTTATCCATGTGCCCAGATACTTACATTTCTGTACTTGTCTTAAAATAACACCATTGACTTTAATTACACATTTAGGAATAATTTGTTTCTTTGATACCACCATTACTTCTGTCTTCCCATTATTCAAACTTAGGCCCATTCTTCCACTTTCTGACACCACAATGTCTATCATTTCCTGTAATTCTTTCTGACTTGTTGCTATCAAGACTGTGTCATCAGCATAACGTAAATTGTTTATATTGTGCCCACCAACCACGATTCCGGGCATATCAATTAAAGATCTCATAATATATTCACTGTATATAGAAAACAAAACAGGTGAAAGTACACATCCTTGTCGTACGCCCCTCTTTATGCTTTGAAATGTACCTAAACAGTTGTTAATTCTTATAGCTGCTGTTTGCTGCCAATACATATTCTTTATTATTCTTAGATCTTTCCCATCAATGTTTAATTTTTCTAACAGTTTGATTACTTCTTCATGCTTCACACAGTCAAATGCTTTTGCATAGTCTATGAAGCATAAGTACAAATCAGTCTTTACTTCTATAGCTCTTTCTGACAATGTCCTTAGGATGTATATGGCATTGTTTGTACCTTTTCCTTCTACAAATCCACATTGTTCATTGCTGATTTCTAGTTTAATTTTGTTTCTTATTCTTCTCATAATTATTATCAGTAAAATCTTAGTCATGTGACTCATAAGACTTATTGTGCGATGGTCTTCACATTTTAAAGTGCCTGGTTTCTTCGGCAGAGCTATAAATATGGATTTTAAAAAGGTCATTTGGAATATACCCATTGTTATAAATATCATTTAAAAGTTTAGTTATTATTTCAATTCCAAAATTTCACAGTGCTTCGATTTCTTCCAGTGAGATGTTGTCTGGCCCGGGTGCTTTTCCTTTCTTCATATGATGTATTGCATCCTCAACTTCTGCAGTCATTATTGGTGGACCATCATTGTTGGTCTGCAGTTCTATTATCATTATACAATTCCCCTATATACTCTGTCCATCTGTTAATTTTATTACTATGTCCCATTAATAAGTCACCATCCTTTGATTTCAAACATCCAGTGCTGTTACGTGTCATCTTTCCTGTTAATATATTTATCTGTTGGTACATGGAATGTGAGTCTTTCCCGTGATTTTCCCCAATCTCTGTACACATTTGATTCAGCCAGGCTTCTTTAGCCACTTTGCATTTGTTCACTATTTCTTTTTGTATTCTAGAGTATTCTTCTTTATCATTCTTTTTCTTCTTTCTTTCATCCATCAACTGCAGAATTTCGGTTGACATCCATTTCTTTTTTGCAACTGTATGGGTTGGTGGGATTGTCTCTTTAGATGTCTGCTGAATTGACTCACGCAACATATCCCACTGTTCATCAATAGTCTGTATAATTTCCATTGCATTATACCGGTTTTGTACAGTGACGTTGTACTGTTCCTTAATTTCTTTATCCGTTCTAAGAATTCCTAAATTTAACTTGATGTTCTGTGGTGTTTTTCTAATGTTCTTTAGTTTTATTCTAATTTTTTTTTTTTTTTTTTTTTCAATTTTTATAATTTTTTTACAATTTTTTTTTAATTTTTTTTTTTTTTTTTTGACGTTTAACGATGTTTAATCTGTAATTACAACAACATAAACAACATTAGCGGCAATAACAACAACATTTACAACAACTGACAACTGACCCTTCGGGCCGGGGCGACGACAGTTTTATTTGTTTGTGCTGGTGCCTTTTGACTTCTTTGTCGTTTTCGAGAAGCTGCTGCTGTGATGTGGGCTATCTAAGAGTTGGCAGAAGGTAAAACAAACGTAGGTTTGTTGATTTGTGCATCAGACCTCGCTTATAAAAACAATTATCTCAGTAAAGGCTGTTTACAGGACATTTTTGTTTCAACAAAAGACAATTATCTCATGCAGACTTCTAGCGATAAACTGGATATAAGGAAGGACGCTGCTCATGACAATTCATTTTGGTGCTCGACTCTTCGTCGAGGAGCAGCGGCATGTGAAACAACTACGATACTAGTAGCAGCAGCAGTTCCAAAATTATATGTAGAAAAGACCGTGGATCCCTAAACTAAAGTAGCCCAAACCCATACCTACACTAGACCAGAACTTTCTGTGCTGGGATGCTATTAAGACGTGTTTCTGAAACTTTGCATTAGACATCGCTGAGCATGTTGAACAAATTCAGCAGCTAGAGCGAACTACACGATACTACAGGTTACAAGTCAAGAGGCCGACCAAGAATGATGTGGGTAGAGGCAGTAAAAGAGACACTACAAAACGCAGTATGACATTACCACAAGCTATGCAACTGGCAAAGGACAACATAAAACATACTTATAACTTCTCTCTGGGACAAAAACAGTACGATAAAGAAAAGAAGAGGAGAAGAAAACTGTCCTCGCATGCTGTTTTAATGGATCAGTGCAGTTGTTCTCATTATCCGAATACAGTGACAGCTAGTAAATACAAAAACATGCATTTGAAATCTTAAGTTCGCTAAATTTCGTGTTTCCATCTTTATTATTCACTGAGAAAAACAATGAGGGGCATTATTTTCTGAATGTTCCTAGTACTTTATTAAAAGATTACAAAACAAAACAAAAAATTAGTCAACATGTTTGTAAAAACACAGTTAGTGAGTTAGCAATAATGCAGTGATTTCTCGACTAATAAAATCTCTTGTCATAACGGTGTCTTGTGAAGTGCGACCGCTCGGCCGCATAATTTACAAACCGTTCCGGAAAATAATTAGATTAAAAACGCGATACTTGGCTTAATTAACGTCAGCCACCCGGAAAGCAAAACAATTTTTAAAATAGGCAGCTCGTGGAGCAGAAGCATCAACCAAGACAACCGGTGCCAATCAAAATTGTTCGATTAACAATCGGGGAGCAGTTTTATGAGAAGAAGGCTGCGATGGAGGCATGTCTGCTATGATGGCTACAACATGACAAACGGGCACATGCTGTACTTGGAAAACGAAGGCAACTAGATGCATTATGCCAGGGAAATATGGCAGCTGACGGTCAAACTAGATTGATATTGTGGCCTCTGCGGACTTAAGCACGGAGACGTCTGCATGCAAATTATAAAACCAGGCTTCTATGTTTAGGGCAGTTCAGTAACGTCTTTCTTTTAAATGAAATGTTCTGTAAGTGTCGTATTCGCATTAAAGGATAGCTGCAGTGCATTCCTTGATGTCTTATGAAATATTATACGGTAATACCCATATCTCACTCCCCTCCCCCTTCTTAGGCGACCCTCCCCTTTTGGTTTGACTCTATCCACTATTCGATTCTTCTTCTTCTAGCAAACCCTTTAAAGATCGTTTAGCGCGTTTACAGCAAGGCTGCGATTTGTTTGCCTTTCGACCCAGCATATCCGATTTTTGCAAACCTCTTAGTCCCTTTTTTCGTCATGCGTGTTATGGAGCAGTTAGTCTCTTCTCCCCCACCCCTAACCGCCGCCCCGTCCATCTCCCACCTAAAACAAATAGGGCCCTGGAACCCCCTCGGGAACCTTTATCTGACAGCCAGGAAAACGGTTTTTGTCTAAATCGTGCCATGTGGCAATCAGATCTTACCAAGTCAAGGACAGGATTCTGAAACCTGAACTAACCCCAAGAAACTGTCTCACGAGGAAACCTGAACTAACCCCAAGAAACTGTCTCACGAGGAAACCTGATCGCCAACATCAGAACAATTCTACGGTCAGGTCTCAAGGAGGAGAAAACTGGAGCACATTGCAAAGGGGAAAACTAGAGCACATTGTGAAGGAGAAAACTGGAGCACATTGCGAAGGAGAAAACTAGAGCACGTTGTGAAGGAGAAAACTGGAGCACATTGTGAAGGAGAAAACTTGAGCACACTGTGAAGGAGAAAACTAGAGCACATTGTGAAGGAGAAAACTAGAGCACATTGTGAAAGAGAAAACTAGAGCACAGTGTGAAGGAGAAAACTAGAGCACATTGTGAAGGAGAAAACTAGAGCACGTTGTGAAGGAGAAAACTAGAGCACGTTGTGAAGGAGAAAACTAGAGCACGTTGTGAAGGAGAAAACTAGAGCACGTTGTGAAGGAGAAAACTGGAGCACACAGTGAAGGAGAAAACTAGAGCACATTGTGAAGGAGAAAACTTGAGCACACAGTGAAGGAGAAAACTAGAGCACGTTGTGAAGGAGAAAACTGGAGCACGTTGTGAAGGAGAAAACTAGAGCACATTGTGAAGGAGAAAACTAGAGCACGTTGTGAAGGAGAAAACTAGAGCACATTGTGAAAGAGAAAATAGAGCACGTTGTGAAGGAGAAAACTAGAGCACGTTGTGAAGGAGAAAACTGGAGCACACAGTGAAGGAGAAAATAGAGCACGTTGTGAAGGAGAAAACTAGAGCACATTGTGAAGGAGAAAACTGGAGCACACAGTGAAGGAGAAAACTAGAGCACATTGTGAAGGAGAAAACTAGAGCACGTTGTGAAGGAGAAAACTAGAGCACATTGTGAAGGAGAAAACTGGAGCACACGGTGAAGGAGAAAACTAGAGCACATTGTGAAGGAGAAAACTAGAGCACATTGTGAAGGAGAAAACTAGAGCACATTGTGAAGGAGAAAACTGGAGCACATTGTGAAGGAGAAAACTGGAGCACATAGTGACAGTTGGAAAGTTGAAAGAGAAGATGTAGGACAGTTTGATGTCACGGCATGGATGATCATCCGAGTCAGAACAGGACTTGGACTACAAAACTCTCTTAACCAGGGAGCTCTAGATTACAGGGTAGTAGCTAGACGCAAACATACCGACCCGAAGTTTCCGAGTTCAAATCCAGGCATGTTTTTATAACTGTCTTATGGACTCCCAGGTCGACTGTAACAGAAACCGACCCAGGAAATGTTCTGGAAAGTAAATTCGACTGGCGTAATGTTGGGCATGGTAGCATCGATTGTGTTTAAATAATACGCTGAAATGGAAGTCGCCGTGGCAGAGCGGCTAGACGCGCGCCGCGGATCGGAAGGTCGTGGGTTCGCTCCCTGGCGGAGACGGACTTTTCTTCAAAAATGACCCAGCCTTGAGTGGGTACCGGGTGCAATCCCGGGAAGTAGAGGCGGCCGGCGTGATGCTGACCACATCACCCATCTTGTGCCGTTGGTCTATAAAAATATAGGTCTAGCCCTGTATGCCCTATACGCCTAAAGGCGTGAAAATGGTCCTTCACTTTTTTTTTTTTTTTTTTACTTTTAATACGCTGAAATATAAATTGGGGAACATTTGAAGGCACTAAAACCAGATAAATAATTAATCCATAGGTATTGAATGGCACACACAGAAGTAGATTTAATCTTCTTTGTCACATCTTTGGCTTAAATAAAACCCTAATCAAAATACAATTTCTGGGAGCATTATTTCCCTTGAGACCAGCTATTTAAGCACATCAACTCAGGCTTAGCAATGAATATTACAAACAGGGGAGCTAATTCAACGAGGGAGTGTAACATCGCAAGTACTTTTACACCCCCCTGGGGAAAGGAGGAACATTTTACGACGAATGGCAAAAGGGGGGGGGGGGGGGGTGATCGGATGAAATTAATGAAGTAAAGTAAATCTAACAAAGAAAGCAAGCTATAATCATCAAAATCTGTAATTTGATCTACTTTAAAACAAAAAATTACCAATTATGCACTGTCGTCATCTAACGTGAACACAAGGTGAAACGCAATCATACCCATGCAGACGACGGATCAACATAATGGCACTAGGGTATTAACCCATAACTGCTCCCTTCTACTTCTGACTCAATTCCGAAAAATCTTAGCGCAGTGCACGAATTCCGTAGCACCGGCAATGATCCTGAAATATTTTGGGTAGATTTTTAACTCCACATGTTGCCCGGGCAGCGCCGTGAAGCTACTCTTTTTAGATTTCCAACTGCCAATTGATTTTTACATGCGCAGCAATACACACGGGCGTCCGATCTTACTAACAAAGCTCCACCTTCTAGTTCACAGCTTACAGCCAAAACTCACAGCTACAATTCACAGCGAAAATTCCTAGCCACAACAGCCACAACTCACAACCACAATTTCCAGCCACAACTCACATCATAATGTATATGTTTAAGGGGGAAATCTGAAAGCCTGGAGTGCTGAGAAGATATCAACTAGTAACTCACAACAACAATTTACAACCACAATTTACAACCACAATTTACAGCCACGACCAACAACCACAACTCACGGCCCTAATTAAAAAAGCAAAAGAAAGACGGTTTCCTTCCGAGTTATCAAACAAACACGCCAGCAACCAGTTGTGTCGACTTCAAACAGGAAGCGGTTTGTTACGCTTGCACGTATTTCCAACACCCAATATGTCAGAGCATGCGCCAACACGAACCTCAAACATCCAAACCAGAATAATGATGGTCTATAGCACAATAAAAAAGACGACACTAAGAACTGGAACAACCCTATCATAAAAACAGCTAAAACGCGTGCATTTCAACTCGTGGGAGTCAGGAGAGAAGCGACAACCATCGGCGCCGGAATTTGGAGCCCCAGGTTCTCCCACCACCCCCCCCCCCCCATGCCACACCCATGTTTTTGAAGAAAAAAAAGCATTCTTAAACGAGACGTAAAGAAGGTCTCTTTAAAAGTATTTCTTTCCACGTTTTATGATATTTCATAGATCGGGAAACAGAAACAAGAAGCCGACAAGCCAGTGCACTTATATACCAACTGACACCGTTATTAAGACACATGAACATAAGTATGAGCGCCAAGAAACA